CCAGAAAGGTAACATTTGAAAAGCAAATGCATAATGTTTACCTTCGCATGAAGGTCTACTCTGTTAATTCTTACTCAAATACATTCATATACTGCATATGGCCAGACAGGAGTATAAATCCCTCCTGCTATAAAATTGCAACATTATGTAACCCAATACCAGTTACCATGGTGAGAGACGTCAACAAATCAGGTCATTGTCAAGGTCAGAGGTCAGTGTTTGGAACAGAAGAAGAAGAAGTAGAAACGTAGCAAAAACACTGTATTTTCCTTCGGTAAACATAATTATTAGTATAAGATGTGTTTCTGTGGATCGCTTGGCTCTATTTCTATGTTGGTAGTCCGTCAATATATTGTAACTTTCCATAAAGTGCTTCTTCGTTGTGTTGGGTGTGCACCGGTCAACATTAGGGAAATATTTCATCAATGAAGTTATATCTCACCTGTTTCGTTAACGTCCACCACTGCGACTGTGGCCCCCTCCCTGGCGAAGACCTGGCAGGCCGCCCGACCGATACCACTGCCACCTCCTGTTAACAGAAGCACGAAGGAGAAGTTTTTTTATAAGGCCATGTTGATTTGATTATATGGATGACATCCGCGCGCGCATGAATTTTCGGCCGTTTCAAAAAAAAAGTTTTCAACCATACTGTAAATCGTGCAAAACAGTTGCTGAATGAGCAAAAATATACCATAAGTTGCAAGGAAAACATTTAGAAACGATACCAATGTCGTAGAATGCCAAAATCAAAGGAAAAAAGACAAAAATGTAAAGAAATGAATTCGAAGAGTAGATTATTCGCTATAACATATTCTGTGCCATTTGTTCAACCTTCATGACCACGTAGATTTCATAGTGAAAGCAACTTTTTTTTTTTGCAAAACTTTTTTTTTTATTCTCACGCGCGCATCAGTTTTGGGGTTCCCAGGGGATGTCATCCATATAATCAAATCAACATGGCCTAATTCAAAATCTAACACACACTCAAGTCTTTTCAATTAATTTTTATGCCGCCACCAACACAGAGGACAATAGACAATACTCATTTTCACCTGAGTTAAGTGATAAAAGTCGTGTCGAGTGCCTTTCCCAAGGGCACAAGATCCGTGGCATGGCAGGACTCGAACTCGAGACCTCTTGGTCTTGGCTAGCTCAAACAATTATGTTTCAACGTTTTCACTTAGTTAGACCAAACCATTACTAGTTTGTCCTGTCTGTCCCAACATCTAGTGGTTTGTCCTGGACAGACTTTTTAAACATTGACTGTATTGTGATTGATTTTTGCAACGCCAGACAAGTGGATATTGTTGTAAGAAACAGGAAACCCCCCCACTGTTACACTACTCCCCCTTTTCTTTTCAAGATTCCTCCTCGAATCTTCCGAATTCGACATCCCTGGAGCGGCACTCTTTGACTCTTTGCCAGAACTGCCAGGGCCGGTGTGGAAACCACTGTAAGAAACAGGAGGAGCCGTAAAAACCCCACTGGTCCCGGGCCGGGGTTCGAACCCACAACCTCCCGGGCCCCAGTCAGACGCTCTAACTGAGTGAGCTAAAAGGTCTAGACCCATTTGCCGGATCTGTTGGTAGCACCTATAAACCCCCCACTGTTACAGTGTACGTCCTAGCAGTTAAACTCAAAGTACAGTTCGCCGACTGTTTTAATCCTGAATGCATTACGCAGTATTCATTTATCTAAATTTATTTTAGCACAAGACGACTTGGTTGCTCCTTCAACTTGTCACATTCTGGAGCCTTACTAGAGTTGGGTCACTCTCGGACGATGACCCAGTAATTGCATCAAATGAACTATCGCCTACAGACGCCTACGACCCAGACAAAAATATCAAAGGTCACTTGCAATTGTATTCACATACATGTAGGCATATCCTATTACTTACAGCACTACTTTAGACAAAACTGTAGGAGTACAAGCTTGCTGTTGTCGTTGTATATTGAGTCCTAGTGACACATCCCAAACATTACGTACTGTTTGTTGCTATGTTGATATCTTCTATTTCATGACCACGTCTATGGATTTAATAGCTTAGTTTATGAATATGTATCCACGACACGACAGCAAAATATGACGTTGATAGACGTTCTGGAATTTAATTTCTGACCTGTGACGAGAGCAAATTTGCCCGAGAGTCTCCCGGTCCCCTGTAGTTTGTTGGGTTCGTTCTGGTCCATGGTCATGGGCCCACGGTACAGTACATTTCCCACGTCGCTAGCCCATGTTACGAAGGCCCACAACGACACTTCCACACACCTCTTCCACAGCCCTTCGACACCGCACTGCCAAAGGATATACCTTCCATACCGCTCTTCCGCGGCCCTTCCACAGCGCGATGCCAGTACCACTTGGCAGCGCGCTGTGGAAGAGCGGTAATGGAAGGTATATTAGTAGCTGGCTGTGGAAGGGCCGCTGAAGAAGTGTCGTTGTGGGCCTTCGTACCATGTAGCCATATACCACCGGTTTGACCTGTCAGGATTTGCCTACGCTAGTAGTAAATGATGCCGCAATAAACTATTAGTATTCAGGTGGCACACAAAAGGGGGGCTTGCTGCGTTTAGATGCATTGGTACGTACATGTATATGCTACATGTATCAATCTCACGACTATACATAATAGATAATATGCATTTTACAAGAATATCATAGAGTAATTTTAAGATTTATAAGAGGCCCAGTGAGTTGTGCAATGTGAAAGAAAACCCATACTATGGCCCCTTAGCAGCACTGTGAACTTTGGCACACTTTTGGACGTTAAAGTTCAAGTGAACGTTAGGACAAGTGCTGAGTGTGCCAACAAAGAAGACTTTGGCCTTAGCTGTAGTCCAAACTTATCCAAAGCAGGGTTAATAATTATAATTTGAAGTCTAAACTCTAGTATATAGAACAGTACACAGAGTAAAGAGACTCTTTTTCCACAACCAAGTGTTTTAATCACAGCCGACGTTTCGATGACCGTCTGTCACCTTCCTCAGGGCAATTCTGACTGGTTCACATTGCACTGCAGCACAGGTGTCACTGCAATAGATGCATTCCCCAACGCAGTGACACCTGTGCTGCAGTGCAATGTGAACCAGTCAGAATTACCCTGAGGAAGGTGACAGACGGTTACTGAAACGTCGGCTGTGAATAAAACACTTGGTTGTGTAAAAAGAGTCTCTTTAAGGCCACACCAATTTGATTTCTTGGTTAACGGATTCGCCCGCTTCATTTTTTCTGATTTGCAAATGAAAATAAAAAATTCAGAATCAACTGCAAAATGCTTATATTTTGCCCTGAACAGTTGAAAACAGTCCTTTTCATCCTAGTTGTTACAGTTATTCCATCTTTCAATGCAGTGGTATCATAAAAAGTTCAAAATTCATTGTTTAAATTTTGAACCAGCCTGGTGTGTTGACTTCATGGCTCCTATCGTACCATTTTGGGCCATAATAGGATGCCTAGGCCTGTTTTTATTTTAATTTTATTTTTCGCCCGCCCACTCCATTATTTTTGTAGAAAAATCCGTTAACCAAGAAATTAAAATGGTGTGGCCTAATCAGTAACTTACCAACCTGATGAAACTATTCACAGAACAGTAGTACACACATTTCATGATAAACATGTAGTTTTATTGATGCTATGCAAAAACGTAAACAATAATAAACAATGCTATCATCTGACATAACATAGTCCTAAATGAGAATAAAACATTTGGCTAATTTCTAGGTGATAGACTAACACAACGGTTTGTAAAGATCTTTATTTCAAATCATAAAGCAATATGTTCTTCCACAACAATATAAAAAGATATCTTTTTTGCAACTTAAGATTTTCTTACTTAAATCAAGGAGGTTACTGGGAACATTCTATAACCTCCTTGATCAAATAAAGTCACACTTAAGGTTGACGCAATGTCTATTCTTTTTCTTGACACTGCCTTTAAATTACTAATATTTCTTCTTGTAGGAAAGTTTTTAAATGAGAAGTTGACTTCTTGTAAGACATTTTTCATAGTAAGGGAATGGCAAATAACCTGGACTTTTCTTAAAGGAACTAGCAGCAAAAACAGTAACCTCAAGTATCCATGAATATGGAATAAAACCCAAACACACTTTCGTTTCGATCGAGACAGTGGAATTTACTCCAACATTTGCCTTTCAATAACTATTAAGTCGTTACTTGCACTTGTATGTGATTCACATTCTAATAGTGCTGTCTTATGTGTATGTTTACTAGTGTGTGAGTTGTATGTACAAGTGTAAGTCTACAGATGTGCCTATATACTGCTATGCTAACTGTAGTACAAAAGGGTTGCATTATGGTTTGATTTCAGAGATGCATGTCTTATGTCGTACATTATTTGTGTACCTGCTTGGCACTGCAGTTTGCCGTTTAGTAATGGTATGTTACAATCTGTTCTGTTCAGTTTGACATAGTAACATTTTGCCATTTTCATGTGTTACACTGTTTCCTTTAGTTTCAGCATTACACTGATCTTATACAAGACATATCCGTTTCTGTCATTGCATGATATTGACTTTAGAGAGAGAACATTGAATTCTGCTACGGTGTACTTTGCAATATGGTCTTTTAGGGTGCCATTCTGGAGCATTTGATAGAAGTACAGTATAGATTACTGATTTTTAGCTTTTTGTACATTCAAGTTAGTTTGAAAGTTTTGTTCTCAGAGTTGCAGACGTGAGGATGGTTGATACACAATCGTTATTTGCAGTCATGTACAAGTTTGGTATCATTTACAAGATTTTTTAAATTATTGTTGGCCTTCTTCTCTCTTTGTAGGTAGGTGATGTGCTTTAATTTCCATTCATTTGCAATTGGAGGAAGCCTGGGTGCCAGACTGTTTCCAGGGTCTACACAGATCAGGTCCTAAGCTCTAGGGCGTCAATTTTGCTTAAAAGACAGGACATGTGGGCAATGCTATATGTGATATGCCTTATAGTTTTGCACTGAATTCTGTACAGTGACCAAAATCGTGAAAGGTGCCAAAATAAGTTGTCCTGTTGATCCTAACATTACCAGTAGAAGACTTACATTACCAGTATTATGAACAAGATTGAACTCTGTAATTGCCAACACAACAAATTGGACTCACCCAAATTTTGGACTGCACAACTCCAGTCTTTGTTGAGGAATGATCCACTGCTCACGGAGTCACGTGCGTTATCTGTGTGACGTCACGGAAGCGGTGGATTGCTCATTCCTTCACAAAGACTGGAGTTGTACGGTCAAAACTTTTGGTGAGTCCAATTTTTTGTGTTGGCAATTACAGTTCAGTATCGTTCATCATGACTTCTACCAATGCAGATGAACTTTCAAGATTACATTACGAGTAGATGCCCAGCTTGTGTAAAACAGACCTATAGGCCAATAGATGGGACCTGAGACTCATACGGAAGCCTTTAGACAGGGGAAACAGTGGGAAACCTGGAGGGCTGGGTGGTAACACCACTCTGTCTACCTCTGAAGAGCTACTACTATCAGATACATGTACCTCAGACGCAGACATACTAACTGTTGTAGGTAACACTTTGCTTGCATCAACAGAAGACTGGTGTGAGTCTGTCTCTTTCGAATTCTTGACGTTGATTCCTAACTGGCTGTCACCAGTTTCAGCCTGATCCGACTGGTTTGAAGTGGTTGTTGACGTGTGCTTTTTACAAGTTGGCTGTTGGATAATACTGGTTACGACAGCTTGTTCTGAACTGGTTCTTGGCTGGTCTCTGTTAGTCAGCGGCTGGTTTTCAGACAGTACTGACTGGTCAGTCTTTGGCAACATTGTAGTCTTGGGTTGGTCTATTCCGTCACTGGGTGTAACACTGTTGGTTGAAGATTGTCCCACAAGAGGATGATTAGAAGCAGCAGCAGCTAGTTGGTGTTGAGAACTGGTTGTTTCACTGTTGGTTGAACAGGCGGCAGCATCACTGTTGGTTTTGGTCTCTGTTCCGTTCGGACTGTAACTCTCTGACATCTCCAGCCAGCTTTCTAGTCTCCGGATCATCCTTGGAAACAGGAATAGAATGATAAAGAGTTAGAAACTAAAGGTAACATTGCAAAGGAGATACATGTTTACCTTCACATAGTGTATCCTAACAAACTACTAACTCTGTTTATTCTTTAACTCAAATACATTGTTTATGACGACCAGCCTCAGCCACTCTGTTTATTAAACTTGCTACATAATTATGTAACCCAACACCATGGGGTGTCTGCTACAGCACCTGTTACCAACTTGTCCTGGTCATTGATCTTATGTGTTTGGAAATGCCGACATTTGCTCAGGAGCAAATGCAGCACATGGCTTCACCACATCCTTTGTACCAAAAATGGACCTATCCCCCTCTCGCACAAATGGACTGTTCCTAAGTCACCCCTGTACAAAATGTGAAGTGTTCCAATTGTCCATACCCCATTCAGCAATGGAATCTTCCAACGCCTTCTGCTGTAAAACAGTTGGAACATGTAGAACCCTGGTAGAACCAGTTTAAATGACTTTTCTATAATTTAGACCTGTCAGTTGGGATTGTTTTTTGGCTGAAAATGGCCAAAAAATAACAAACAATTCTGAACAATTTTATTTGCCCACTCTAACTTCATGCCAAATTTCAGGTCATTTGGTTAAAAAAATTTTGTAGTATCCACTTAAAGAAATGGCAGGAGAAAAGGAAATAAAAGAGAACATGTTTCACCACATCACATAACAATATGTTTTCCTTCTGCGAAGTAGACCAGTTAGTTACATGTAGTTACCAATCATATCTACATGTATCTACAGACCCCCCCCTCCTTAATTACCTGTGTCCATGCTGTCTGTAGTGTTCTACAATCTCGTCCTGGAAGATGTCTGGTGGGTTGAGAGCCATCTTACTCATGGTCTGTACCATCTTCAGTAGTGCCATCTCATTATAACACCTGGAACAGATGATCAGAGCCTTTTTCATTGCAACATTTATTCCACTTATTTTTACAAGTGAAAACCTGCACCACCAACGTAGAGGACAATACTAGTATTCATTTTCACCTGTCAGTGAGTAAAGTGACAAAAGTCATGTTAAGTGTCTTTCCCAAGAGCACAAGATCGGTAGGGGTCTCACACTGCAGTTTCACCCTGGGTCTCACACTAAAGTTCCACTTTGGGTCTCTCACTACAGTTCCACTCTGGGTCTCACACTACAGTTCCACTCTGGGTCTCACACTGAAGTTCCACTCTGGGTCTCACACTACAGTTCCAATGTGGGTCTCACACTACAGTTCCACTGTAGGTCTCACACTACAGTTCCACTCTGGGTCTCACACTGAAGTTCCACTCTGGGTATCAAACAACAGTTCCACTCTGAGTCACACACTACAGTTCCACTCAAGGTATCACACTACAGTTCCACTCTGGGTCTCACACTACAGTTCCACTCTGGGTCTCACACTACAGTTCCACTCTAGGTCTCACACTACAGTTCCACTCTGGGTCTCACACTACAGCTCCACTCTGGGTCTCTCACTACAGTTCCACTCTGGGTCTCACACTACAGTTCCACTCTGGGTCTCACACTACAGCTCCACTCTGGGTCTCACACTACAGTTCCACTCTGGGTCTCACACTACAGTTCCACTCAGGGTCTCACACTACAGTTCTACACACCTGCTGTTCTCCAGCCCCTCCTGGGAACCCTTGTCCTTCTCAAACCCTGCCTCGTTGTAGTACGGCTCACTCACCAGGATTAAACCTACAAAATAAAACGTAGACCATGAAAGTTGTCCTTTTTTCTTGTTTGCCTAAAAAAAACATCATACAGAAATTGTTCCTTGCGTGCATTCATGTAATAGGTGCTACTGTTAAAGAAGTCTTTTAAGATTTAAAAAAAAATCTGTTTAAGTCACCATTGATATCCATAATCATAATACCAGTAACTGACAGCCTCCTGCCCTACCTTGAATAGACACCAACACTTGCAGAAGGTTGGAATCTTTGGTCCATTTCTCTGTACCCTACAGACAAAAAGGAAATAAAGATTTGACATGAAATGAATGACAAGTACAAGCACCAATATATTGCACAAAATTAGCTTGGTCCAAAATACACAGAATGCAGATCCACAGCTGAACTTTTGTGCATATTCAAAATACAGGGATTTTCTTCATACAGCTTGTGACACACTAATAATGAAGCAATCATAATGCAATAAACTTCAAGTTCAGATGTCAAGGGATGTACACTTCTTCTTATATTATAGGCTCAAACAGATAAAAATAAGTAGCTCACTCCATTCTGCCTAATCCATAGCCATTACAAACTCGATACCTAAAGCCTACATGTATGACAGTTATTGGTTAAATTGACCTAAAATGTTTGTTCAATAATCAGACCTTGCCCTGCCATGTGCCCAGCAGACTGACGCAGACTTTCCCGTCCTCGTACAGGTTAGGGTTGAGTCGGCCGCTGTGATAGGCCAGGTAGTGCAGCAGGGGTGGGATGAGGGGGTACGCGTCCGGCAGCTTCAAGTCAAACAGGAACAGTCCATCCTCGTAGGGGGTGTTGTGGGGACCCTTGATGGCAACCGAGAACAAATCCTAGGGACAAGCAGTGCAATGTAAGATGGTTTTCTTGTCTTTAGGCAAGTTTTAGTTCTTACCAGCATGAAAGTGGTAAGGCCACACCAATTTAATTTGTTGGTTCTCGGATTTTTTCAGAAAAAATATGAAGCGACAGGGCGAAAAAAAATAAAAATAAAAACAGGTCTAGGCATCCTATTATGGCCCAAAATGGTACGATAGAAGCCATGAAGTCAACACACCAGGCTGGTTCAAAATTTAAACAATGAATTTTGAACTTTTAATGATACCATTGCATTGAAAGATGGAATAATTGTAACAACCAGGATGAAAAGGACTGTTTTCAACTGTTTAGGACAAAATATGAGCATTTTGCTGTTGATTCTGGATTTTTATTTTTATTTGCAAATCAGAAAAAAATGAAGCGGCGAATCCGTTAACCAAGAAATTAAATTGGTGTGGCCTTAGTGCAAACTTGTGCAAACTGTTAAAATTTCTCCCTATGAGTCAGTTCTCTACTGTTTAAAGCTAAAGTCAAATGGGAAAGAAATGAGAATAAAAAATTGATTACAGCATGGTTCGGATGCAGATCAGGAGTTTACTTTCTAGCGACACAGCCTTTTCAAAGGTAGTGTACAGTACATACATGTCATCATCATCATCATCATTCATCCTCCATAATAGAGGTGGAGCATACAAAGTTAGCTCGCCAAAACTGTTTGTCATACATCACAGAGATAAGTTCATGTCCCTCCAAGCCAGTTTCAGTTTCAATAAGTTTCTTAACTGTTATGTTTGGGCGTCCAACTCTTCTAGTACCGGTATCAGGATTCCAGAGTAGAAGCCTACTGGCTGGTTCTTCACTACGTACTACATGACCGGCCAAGCTTAGTCGTCGACATTTGACTACTGATTAAGAAGTTACCTTTGGTAGCGAACCGTATAACTTTTCATTAGTAGTATGTTTCCACCATGGTGTATTGAAAACCACTTGCAGCATCTTCGTGTATGTACATACATGTAATGAAGGAATTACACAATGAAGGAAAAAACTGACCATTCTGTCCTCAAAGGTTTTCACTAGGATGCCTTCAGGTAAGGATGTACTGAGAAGAGTCAACTGGAAAAAACAGAACATGACACTGGATTACCAAGAAAGTTCATCTGTGTTGGTAGTAATCATGATAGTAAAACGTTGAACTTTATTCCAACACACAATCTACAGAGATCAAATTTTCAGTGACCACTATCGCCTTCATCAGGATAATTAATGACTCCCTGGCACTTTTGATCAATTGCTCACATCACGTATCTATCAGTAAAGTCTCGTGTGAATAAGGTCACGTGTTTGTAAACCGTAACTCTCGCAAGATCACGTTTTGAAGTGATTGGTCATTAATTATCCTGATGAAGGCGACAGTGGTCACTAAAATTTGATCTCTGTAAATTGTGTGTTGGAATAAAGTTTAACGTTTTACTATGACACTGGATTGTTGAAGTACTAGTAATACAATAATACAATTACAGTACTAATTCTTATAGCAAACATTAGAGGGCAAAAGATATGTTCCAAGGTACAAAATGGTGTGGTCTGATCTGAAGGAATATAAGACTGAAAAAGTTGGAACTTTAGGGGTGAAATGTAATCATAATCATGAACTACACTATGAGGCATATCTGTTGGTAAAATGTACCAAAAGTATTAAATATTGTTTTCTCACCTCTTTCTTGATGTTAGAGAAGAAGTTTTTCATGTTGGCTGGTCCAAAGTCCAGATCTTTGAACCTGTGACAGGCTGGGCATGTTTCTGACACAGAAAAACCTGCAGAAGATAAGAATATGTCCAAAGTCATCAAAAACAATTAAGTAGAGAAAGTGTCAACTTACATCAACAAAGATTATGAAGAGCATTTATAATTAGGAATTTTCAAATTTCATGCTTATGGTGGCATGTATATGGTGACAGGAGTCTAACTGCTATAAAATTGCAACATGATGTCACCCAACGCCAGTGACCATGGTGACAGACGCCTGGTTCAGGTCGTTGACCTTATTTGTTTGGAGAAGAAGAGGAAGAAGAAACAGAGCTCCTTCTGCCAAGATAAACATAATTTATTGCAATAATATTACATTAATTACCTTCCCCCTTGGCACTAACCCACTTGGCCTCTTGAACTTGGCTGCACGGTGACATCACTTCCTGTCCTGGTGACATCACTTCCTGTCCTGGTGACATCACTTCCTGTTCTGGTGAGATGACTTCCTCTGCAGGTTCCTGGTTCCTAGCGGCACCTCTCTGCTCCTGGCTGGGCTTGGTTGCTGAGGATGATGTTGTTGATTCTTTCCTGTCTTTCTTCTTTTCTTTTGGCTTTTCTGCAGACTTTACTTTTCCATCCACCTCATCCCCACTGCAAGAATAAAGTATTAATCATTAAAGAAAAATCATTGAAGAAAATCATGACCAGTACGTAATGTGTCACTCACTCACTCAAGGGTTGGTGGAAAAAGGAGTCCAGTCAGATTGGCGGAAAAAGCAGTCCATTCTGATCTGGGGGTGGAAAAAGCAGTCTGGTGGTTTATACGAAAGACCATACTAGGTACTATTTTTTTCTTTTGTGTGTGTGTGTGTGTGTGTGCGTGTGTGTACTTCGAGTTTCTATGGGTACTTAAGAGTTTCTGTGAGCACTTAGAGTGAAAAATGATCAGTGTGTCCCACCTGGCAGGATCACTGTCTGTTTCCCAGTCTTCATCAGAGTCTACAGATTCCCACTCACTGTCATCTCCACTCCAGCCTCCTTCATCCTGAACATATATTTATTATTAAACATGTATTAGTTTATTATTACATTTAATTTACAACACGACAATGACCATACAACTTGGTACATATGTTTAGTTTGCCGACTTCTGACAAACTTTGACCCAGTGCTGACATCACACATACATGTAGGAAAAAAATCATCTAATAGTATATACTATTAGGTACTCATTTCCACCTGAAGTGAGGAAAGTTGTGTAAAGTGCCTCTCCCAAGGGCACAAGACTGGTGACATGGTAGGATTCGAACCCAGGACCTCTTGGTACCGACACACTACCGATTATGCCACACAACCCCACTTTAGGGAGGAATTCCTCAATAGGAGTGAAAATACCCTGGAATGAGAACAATGTGTTCTGTATGAAATTATACCTCTGAGTCGACCCTGTACAAGTCCTGTGGAGGAACACTGGACACAGAGTTGTCGATCCACACCACAGCCAGACTCCCGTCACCATTGGTCCTCAGGACCTGTCCGATACACGGCTTCTCTGAGGTGGGCGTCCTACAGGCGGCCTGTGTGGAGTCTGCGATCCGGACTACCAGGTCCCCGATCCTGTAGGTGTAGTCTGGATGGTCTCCTAAATCATATGCACTCACTTCTTCTTCTTCATGGGTCAGGAAACTGGGACAGAAATTCAACAGACATGAAAATTGTGTTTATGCAAAAAACTACATACTACATGTATATTCAGTTACACTGATTTTTTGCCTGTTCTCCAAAAAAAAACCTGTTGCAATGCTCTGGCCTGGGTGCCATCCTCTGTATTCCATGGTAGCTATGGATACTAGGGAGTCAGCAGTAAATATGGGGGATACTACGGTAATCAGGCTGCCGAAGCAAAACGGAAGTCAAGAACTCAGTGCCGACTCATAAATGCCACAAAAGGCCAGCATGTGCAAGCTTGTCATAAAAGTATCTGTGTACTAAACTGCAAATTCCAGTTTCATGTTTGTATTCCTGTGGTTTAGCAGCATTTTTTTCTTTGCTGGAATTTTTTTTATTCGCCCACGTGCATTAGTTTGGGGGTCTTCAGAGGATGACATCCATAAAATTAAGTCAGTCAGTGTGGCATAATGTTCCTTACCCCTGTGGATGTCCTGGGGCTGCCTCCTGCCACTGGATCTGACATGTCCTGGCCTTGTGGTCCACAGTCCGCACAAACCCATACACATCCTTCTTAGGGGACACTACAGAAAATAGTATTAGTTAGGTTAGCGTAATGAAATTATAGTTAATGTACTAGTACAACACACTACTGCTACACTACTACTACTACTTTTTCTTTTCTTCGTATTCAATTCTAATGTCATTTTTCCCCTTAACGTGATTGCATCAAGTGCATTTTGTACAATTGTTGTGCAATAATGTTATTTTTATTATTATCACTGAAAAGCTCTATCTCACCTCTTTTGTCAACGATGAAGTCCCCAGGACAGAACTCATGCTCATCGCAGTGTTGGATAGGAGCCAGTTCATTTGCTGGAATGCCATGCTCTATGGTGCTATCCTGTGTAGAAAAACACATGAAACTTCGTACACATCATGCCTCGGATAGAAAAATCATCAAACTACATGTAGGACTATGCTGTATCTTCTTGCCTCTCAGGTAAGCAGCTGACCATGGAACAAATTTAGCCGTGTCTATACGGAATCACCCAAACCGCGATTCGGGTAACTCACATTCCTCACATCTGGTCCACGTGCCACACACACCTGTGAAACCGTGTCCGAACATAATGCGCTTGAGCTACATTTATTGCTGTTTGATGATAACACACAAGGCGGCGTGTCATTAATGTCAGAGGTCAACGACCTGCTTGCTGATGCCCCCCTCCCATCGTATCTCAGCCGCATGCCGATGTGGTCCCGCCAGAGGCGGTGAAGCTCGCCCTAAAACGGACACATTATTTGACCATTACTGCTCTTTAAGTTGCTGCCACGTAAAAGTTGGTATTGCATATAAAAAAAGAAATATCACTCCGTAATCCATGACCAGGCGAAGTCACATTAAAATCACATTGCGTTCAGACGCAAATCGCGATGCGGGGAAACCGATTCGAAACCTCCTCTAGAAGTGGCTTGGGATCGAGGCGCTTTCAATGTGATTTCGGAGCGTTCACATGGAGCCACTTGAAACCGGCTTCGGGGTAAACCACATGTAAACCGCCTTGGGTGATTCCGTTTAGACACGGCCTTTGTGTTCCTTCCAAATACACAGTGTTCGAAATACCTGTCTGCAGTCTGCAATGTGCAGATAGATTTGTAAGATTGCAGAAGAAAAATTTATACAATCTGCAATTCTGCAGAAGGAAAAATAGGCTCCAGACTCAATAGTTTTCAATTTAGCAAACTAGAACTCTCTAACCCCAAGGACAGACAACACTTAAGCTCCTGTTTTGAAGCAACAGGAGCTTCTTCACTAATTTGCATCATCCTTGTCTTGACACAATGTGTCTGTATCTATGACGTGTCTACATGTATGTATTCTATGTAAAAAAAGCCTGACAATTGGGTCCTAGGGACGCAAATGGGATGTCATTTATGAGAAATAAATTATAAACCATTCTACTCTACTATGTAGTCTCCTAGTATACTACCGTGTACTACAGACTTTCACATTACTGCCAACCCATTAAAAAAAATACAATATTGGCCCCCAAGTGTTTGACTCTGTAGGCTACAGGAAGAAGGATAAAGCCCATGTGTGGGCATACCCTGGCTACGTACCTGCCACATGACGTCCACCAGTGTGGAGACATTCACCACCTCTACAGGCACCACATCCCCCGGCCCCCACTCCTGATGGGCACCTCTCTTCTTCTTCTTCTTCACTCTTCTGTGGGCCTTCTTCAGCGTCTTAACTCCCAGGGTCACTCCCAGCCTCTTGCTCTTCCCGCTCTTGCTTGAGCGCGAAGATGCAGTTGATGATGAGCATTCTGAGTCTGCATTGTCATCATCTGTTAGCGGCAAATTAAGATTGTATAGAAAACTTACATCTGACTAGAGAAGTAACATTTGCAATGCAAATGCATAAGGTTTACATTGGGACATGGTCTGCTCTGTTAATTCTTACTCAAAGTTTCACTCAAACACATTCACATACATGTATTATAATACTAGTATATGGTGACAGGAGCAGAGCAGACCATGAAATTGCAACATTATGTAACCCAACACCAGTCACCATGGTGACAGACGTCAACAAATCATGTCATTGGTCAGGTCATACTGTCATAGGTCACTGTTTGGAGAAGAAGAACAAGAGGAAGACACTGAGTAAAAACAATAATATGTTTTCCTTCGGTAAACATTACAGTATGGAAACCTATCTGCATCACCCTGAATTTGAGCTAAGAACCTCTACGTAAAATGAGATTAAGCACTCACACATTAGAGATAGAGAAAGGGAGATACAAGAAACTGCCTTTAACTTAAGCGAAAGATTCTGTAAATACTGTACAGAGGAAGCAGTGAAAGATGAAATACATTTTATTTGTCAGTGTCCTCATTACGATTTTGTTATTTAAAATTTAAGTTATTCAAAGAAGTCTCCAATATTTCCCCAAGTCTTACACATCTCAACAAACAACAAAAGACTATATTACTGCTAAAGTCTCCCAACCCATTTATTTTTCAGAGTCGGACAATTCATCTCCCACTGCCTCCTGATAAAAAGTCAAACCTAAAAATAATAGCTCGGCAAGAATAGAATAGAATAGAATTATATACTGAATAGAATAGAATAGAAGACAATAGAATAGAAGAGAATAGAATAGAAGAGAATAGAAGAGAATTATAGCAGTTACGATAGTTTTGTCTTACCTGTTAGAACATCTTCCTCATCATCAGCATTGAAATCCTTGTCTTCTAAGACAGCAGAATTACTGGAGTCCCCTGCTGCTTTGTTGTAGGTACTAGATGGAATAGTTTCACCTGATGCCCCACTGGCAACCAACTGTCCATCAGAATCTACCTCACCGTTAACTAGCTTCACATTTGTGGACTGAGATTCGGAGAATCCGTTGGCATGGATAGCACCCGATTTGAGTCTGCCAGATTCGGATACGGAATTGTGATCCTGGGCCTGTGGAGAGAGGTCTTTCTCTACCTTGTTCACGAGCTCTAGAGTTCCGGAAATGTCGGCCATGATACCGTTTAGTCCGGAACAGAACTCGCTGACGGCTCCACCTAGAGTATCGCACTTTGCAACGATGCTACTAGACAACTCACAAGCCTGGGTGAACAATTCCGGGTGATCTATAGCTGAATCGTTCATTGGTCCTCCTGATGCCCCTTCTAAGGCTTGTTCTCTTTCATGATTATCATTTTTTAATCTCTCTGATTCTAGCAAAGCAGTTTTCATGTCTCTTTCCTCCTGCTCTGAACATTCGGTATTATTAAGATTGTCTGACAGATCAACTCTGTTAAGAGAAGTGTTTGCAACAGCAGCCCCTGTCAGTACAGAAGCTTCAGTGTCATCTTCATTGTCAGTCCCAGACTTGCTGGATCCTGTTTCCTGAGTGTCATGTTGTTTGCTCTCGTTCTGTCTCCTCTCTCTTCTACCCTGAACTCGCCCGGACGTATCCGCCCCTACCTTCTCCTCTTTTGACTTCTCGATTTTCCTCTTAGATGCCCGAATCTCTCCTTCAACTTTCTCTACAGCTTTTCTAGCTTCCTGAGACATTTGCTTCACCACTCTGCTTGCCTCTGAGGCTTCCCTAGACTTTATCTTTGCCGCTTCGTTCGCTGCTGCAGCTTCCTTGGATTTCACCTTTGTGACTTCCATGGCTTCTGCAATTTCTGTCGACTTCCTCTGGGCTTCCTCCATGGTACTGTAGACGTTCTCTAGGGTAGATTTTGTCATGAGGAATTGTTGCAACGCTTCTTCTGTGAACGTCTTACTGCCTGAGAATTCTTCCGCCAGCTTGGAAATGCTGTCCTGCATGGCTGGAACGTCGTTTGCCTTTTCCTTCGCCTGTTGTATCAGTTCGAACGCCTCTTTGGTGATTTCCTTGATTCTGTCGTTTGCCTGCGAAGCCTCTCTTGTTTTCTTTTCGGCAAAGTCTATGGCTTTAGCGGCCTCCTCTGACAGGAGTTTTGCAAGCTCGTAGGCTGCAGCCGCTCCTTTGGTCTTTTCTTTTGCTACGTCGTCTAGAGATTCATCAGGCTGGTTGGCTTCCTTGGTCATGGAGGGAGGGGCTAATATCTGCAAAACATGTACAAAATGCTTTCATGTTAGGTTAAATTGGTCGTAACAATAAGAAACATTAGCATGAAAGTTCATCATTCTGTGTTGGTATATTTCATAATAAGAATTAAATTTAGGAGACAGGTATGTCTTTTTACACAACCGGTAAATTCTCCAAAACGTCAGCAAGGTGAGAATTTACCGGTTGTGTAAAAAGAAATACCTGTCTCCTAAGTTCTACCAACCTGATAAAATTATTTGTGGAAGAATTAAATTGTTCTCTAACTCAAAGAAATTGACTCACCAAAAGCTTTTGACTGAATCCCTCAGTTGCCTTTATTTGGACTTCCAACAAACTTTGACCCAGTGCTGATGTCACACGTAGGAAAAAACATGTACATGTATCTACAGTGCTTAGGTCAGAAAGCTGATGAAGACTGAGCGATACAATCGAAAATTCCGGTGAGACGATTTCTTTGGGTTGGAGAACAGTTTAATTCCCATTGAATTGGAAAAAATAATTTTTGAGTGAAACATCAAAGAACAGCAAATTTTTGGGATAACATTAAGAACACATTTCTAGCTTCTACAATGATGCACATACATGTACAGTCCCTTATAGAAAAAGAACCTTACCTGTACTTTACCCAGGTCCTCCTCTGTAAGGGTGTACACTGCCCTGTCTCCAAAGGTGATGTGGGTGTACATGAAGTGCTCGGGCTTCCTAAGACTGCAGAGCAGGTACAGATACATGTATTTAGTATCACATACACTAACACAACATACATGTACTAGTACAATCTGACAAAAAGTTGATTAAACCCGTGTACTGGGTTCATATAACATAATTTTCATGGAAATTCATGAGTTGAGTTATGGTAAGAATGATCTGAGTGCCCCAATAGCATGCCTTGCAGACTAATTCAAAATTAATGAAAGAAATTAAAATTAAAACAACCTGCACAGGGATACTTCTGTCTAACACTCTCTTTCTGCTTATTTTGTACATAAAAGTATTGTTTTGCTACTGTATGATATTCAATTTGATATTCTATCGTGCGTCTTGAATATCATGATCATCATGATAGTTTGTATATGCTGTATGTGTCGATGCTAGCCACCACCAGCCTTGTTGCATGTTTAATAATTGTAAAGTAACGTAAAGTAACACTCTACACAAAGCAGAGCTGCTTACTTGTTGATGTTGTCTCCCTGAATGGCAGCCTCTGGTGGTTTCAGGTCTTCCTCCAGCTCACTAGGCTGTTTCTTGGGTGGGGAGAACCCTCGAGTCTGCCATTCTACATTCACTTCCTTTAGCACCAGCTAGTGAAAAATTACCAAACAGTTTTCTATTAAAGTTAAACAAAATCATCTTTGACAGCAAATAAAGAGAGGTTTTTTTTTTTACAAAAAAAAAGAGTTTTTTTTCAGCCGATGTTTTGGTGACCATCTGTCACCTTCCTCAGGGCAATTCTGACTGGTTAACATTGCACTACAGCACAGGTGTTGCTGTAATAGATGCGTTCCCAAATTAAAGTACATGGTTACAGGGAAAAGTATCTACAAAAAGCTTGTGGGCAGAACGTACTGTGCCTGTGCAAAACCCGGATTTCTCATGTTTTTTCAGATGTTTGGTCAATTTTGCATAAAGTTTGACATTAATTTTGAAAACTACAGATGGGATGTTAATAGAGCTGTGTACCGGTACGCAGTACCGATACTGTACCGGAAAAATTGATTAGGTACAGGTCCAAAATACCTAATCCCTCAGTACCGGTACTGTACCTAAACAATTTCACACCAATTTTATGCCTATTTGTGACCTCAAATCGGTCCCTGTGTAAGGACAGTGTGTTCATGAAAACAAAAACATCTTTAGTTTTGCCTATATTTCATCTGAGCATTCGCCATAAACAAAGAATAAACCTTAACTATCAAGTTTATTAATGTTTTTTTTGTTATTGAAGGAGTTCAGAAGAGCATATAAATTGGTCGAATTGTTCAGGTACAGGTTCAGGTCCGGACCTGTACCTAAACCTGTGTACCTGTACCTGTACCTGTACCTAAAATTTGTTTAGGTACACAGCTCTAGATGTTAACCTTATATAGTAGACACAAATATGACCTATAATGCGGTCCCAAACCTATACATCTTCTTGTTTTTGTTTTGTGTTTAGAATGTCTTACGCTTTACAACATGTGCCCTGTCAATTCTTACCGGGATAAAGTGAAAGTATCAAGTTTAAGTGTGTAACTCACATCCTCCACAGTGACCTTAAACTTGGCCTTGCTGCTGAGGATGGGCTGACGTCCTGACAGCCACTCCACGTCCTTGAACGCCTTGGCCGGTCCCATCAGGGTCTGTCCTGGGTAGAACGCATGCTCCTCCTCCCAGAAAGCCTGGAGATTATGACATGACAACACATGTATCAGCAATTTGAAACTGAAAGTGACATTCTGAAAAACATAGACTGTATCACTCTCTGAACCATGATGGTGGTAGATCCCGTCTTCCCGCCACTTTTGATGCACTCCTGATGTCATCACGCTTCCGACTTCCGGAGAGGCAGCGAGTGAATAACACTTCTGACGAAGGTTGACGAGATTGACTGAAAATTTATAGTGAGTTCACTTCTTGTGTTGGAACAAAGCTTGAATCATACAACTATGGATTCTACCAACACAGATGAGCTTTCATTAGAACACATTAAGTGTAAATGGTGTAAAGACAAATAAACAACATGTATGCCGCGCATCATCAACAGCAACTGAAAGCTCTTTGCTATTCGAAAGGTGCCATAGAAGCGACCTCCAGTGTTTCGTTCAAATAAATCTTGTAGCAGTTTGTAATTAAACCAAATACCTGCACTTTGACAAATAAATTGTAGCCAACATGTGAGTAAGGGGCAAGTACATGACTGGCAATAACTGCATATCATAATAGTTTACTGGTTGGGGGATATAAAATAGTACAAATTGTCCTTCCTTTCCAGAGCTCTAAAGATACACAATAAGAGGATTAAGAGCTAATCTCACATTACACTTTCCAGTGTTCGAAATACCTGCCTGCAGTCTGCAATCTGCAGATAGATTTTCAAGATTGCAGAAGAAAAAATTATACAATCTGCAATTTTGCAGAAGGAAAAATAGGCTCCAGATTCATTAGTTTTCAATTTAGCAAACTAAAACTCCCAGGCCCCAGGGACAGACTGTTCTGAAACAACAGGAGCTTCTTCACTAATTTGCATCATCCTTGTCTTGACTTGTCTAACTTTTGTTTCCTTTTGGACTTCCAAAAAATTGTCTTCACTAATTTGCATATCAATCCATAGTTTATGCTTATAAACCTGAAATTCTCCTGCAGTCCAGTAATGCTACTGTACAGATTTACAAAGCTATATATGATGTAAAAAAGGAATTATTGGTTTGAGAAGGTTGTAGTATGGAGGCTTGTGTATTTGCAGAAAGGTTGTAATATGGAGGCTTGTGTATTTGCAGAAAGTATTTCCAAATTGCAGAACAAAATTTTGACTCTTCTGCAATATTGCAGAGTACTGAAAAAAAGTATTTCGACCACTGCTTTCTGTTCAGTTAGGCTTCTATATGTTTACTTAATAAAGACTCCTTCTAACATTGCTTGTACATTTGTCAATAAGTGTAATTGCTTGTTATCTCTATATCATGTACATGATGATTTTAATATACATCTCAACAGATTTCATGTTAACATGCAAATGTAACATGCAAGTTGATTGCAATAAATCTGAATCAAATATCAAATGATTGACATACGTCACTCTGAACTCTGATGTCCTCCAGCTGCGCAGCATCTCCCACCCACATGGAGCACCTGGCACCGTTTGACAGCCGCAGAATCAGGTGCGCGTTGACGTCCCGCACCCGGCCCAGCCACACGCCGTACACCACATACTCATATGGCAGGATTCTCTGGATAGGGTGAGAAGAATACAGTCAACGAGTTTTGCTTTTGAAACATTTTTGATGTTTTTGTTGGATGTCAAGATATTTCAAATTTGTAATCTTTTTTAAAATTATGGTTGGTAGGTTGGGACTATTTTTTTTTTCTTTTTTCTTTTTAGAATTTGGCTGGATCTCAGATTCAACTTAATATACAGTTTAACAATTTAGTAAAACTTGCAAGAAGACACTCAAAGTCGCGATTAACGTCAATGGTGGAAAACCAATTGAACAATGTTTCATCACTCAGGTGTCAGATCATGGAGCTAGAAATTAAAGGTCGATCAGCTTGAAAAATTTATGTCCCTTGCAGGGGTCCACACAAATAAAGGCTAGGGTCGGCAATTTTTCTAGGGTCAGTCAGGAAACACATTTTTTTCCTAGGCTTTGTTGATTGACAAATGCAACAGGCCGCACCGCTACCACAAAATGTACACCACAGACAAAATGCACTCATTACACATTTTTGTATAGGGTAGGATTTTCTGTGTAGGGCAATATGACATTAAAAGCTAGTGTGCAAATTGCCCAGTTGCCCCGGGCAACCCTGGTAGCCCAGTGTGCTACCTGAATTTTAAGAATGCCCATTTGGCTTGCACCATTGTATCCGGCAGATGCTTTTTCATTTTAGGTATTAATGGCTATAGATTTACTTGTATCAGTTAACTAAAGGCTGTTAGAAATATTGTCAAAGGTTTATGTATGTAACATTACTTCACTTGAGGAAAGTAGTAACTTGTAGGTGGGGCAACCTAAAATTCTGATGGGCAACCAAATTTTTGCTGTAGGTTGCCCACTAGACCCACTCACTGGGCAACCTGGTTCAGAAAAGTGTTTTGCACACTGCTTATTGATTGACAAATGTGCTGACTCCATACCTGTAGAGGTTTAAGCTTCTTGCTGTTGACTCCAGGGATGACCTTGTTAGTTCCGATGATCTGGAGGTCCACGGTGATGTCAGTGTTGAGCACGGTGCCTCCCTGGCTGTCCTGGCCCGCGGCGTGGCGGCGGACAAAGTCCCGCGGCATCAGGGAGCGGTCCACCAGATGGAGCTAAGAGAACGGAAAGAAACACAAAAATGTCATTGAATACACAAAATGTACTAAGTACATAATTTGTATAGTGGTTGCAATCAGGTGACGTAATTATTACTTTCGCAGAAAATCAAAATTGTTTTTGCTCTTTTTTTTTTCTTCTTCCTCTTCTCCAAACAAATAAGGTCAATGACCAGGACAAGACGTCTGTCACCATGGTAACTGATGTAAGGTTACATAATGTTGCAGGTACCATGCAGAACTGAGTTCAAGAGGGGCTGCATGGTCACCATATATTATCCCCCCCCCCGTATAAGTGTGTTTGAGTAAGAATTAAAACAAAGCAGTAGTATATATTTGTAAAGCTGGGCCATGTGAAGGTAAACATGATGCATTTGCTAAAAATGCAAATGTTATAATTACCTTGCTAGTTAAATACATGTACATGTATATGCTAAGTTAGTCGGTCAAAAACACAAATTCATTAATATACCAAAAATGTTCACTGCACCCACAAAAATAGAATTCTGCATCACTCAATTTACAATTATCATAACATTGTATCAACATAACAAATTTTGTTTTGTCAATGTTGTATTTGGCTTTGATTTACCTCATTATGTTTTTTTATGTTTTTTACCTCAGATGTAATTTTCAAACATGATTTTTAGCATTTTAAAATAAATTTTATAACATATGATGGCTTAAGCTTTGCGACTAGGAATTTTGGTGGCAATCTTACATTCACCATGCTTGAATGAACATATACATGTAGCTGGGGTCTCAATATGTTTATATAGCAAATTATATAAAGGAAATTTCACCCATAGTCTTGCTTGAGAACAAGCAGTATACGTAGTAGGGCATTCCCAACCTATCCTGCATACTGATTAGCTAGCTGGACACTTCAATCCAAGAGGACAGATGGTTAAGTACATTAGGAAATGGGACTGACTGGTTCAATCAATACTACATGTAGACCCAGCCCAGTTATGGGGCACACTCTACCTATCAGGGTAATACATGTACATGTACGTTATATGGAAGCATGAACTGTCTATCTGGGATTGATACAATTGTAATTGGTACAAAATAAAACAAGATTGTCATATAGGAGATAGGGTCATTTTATAGCCATTCTTGGTCAAAAAGGGCAGATAATTTAAAGATGCTTCTTGCTTCACAATTGTTGTACAATAATGTAGCATTCAGTTATTTCTTATCTCATTCAGTTGCCTTCTTGGTTTTACATGTCTTGGTTGATGGTGCTTGAGCTTTATTTATCTTTGATCCATCTATTTTCTAGCATAGATAAGCTAAAATTTATCAAAATGTTTTAAGTATATTCCATATAGTAGAGTGCTTATCGAGGATACCCTTTTGTTTATAATGATCAATACTTGTGATCAATAGCAATATTCTAATGATTTCAAATGCCATCACTTGAATTTGATACCATATATAGCTTCACAAAAATAAATATAGTAAAAAAATAGGTATAAATGGTGGATCTGTAGAATTAGAGCTTAAAACAATTTACATATATCATGACTATGTTTAGTAATGGATAGGTGAAGATCAGATGTGTGAATCAATATACTGCTACACTTGGCATTGCAAGTGCACTGAACAGCCAAAAATGGTGCACAATCACATTAACCTTTTCTAACACATATTCCATATTAGATTTTCCTCCAAAATGCCACCTGACAGGTAAAATCTTATCGATATTCATCAACGAACCATAATCTGGTTTTCTAAATGTAGATAAATTTTGTAATTCTACCGCAAGGGATGAAATTTGGTTAGGGTGCCCCCAAATCGTTCATTTAGTGTGACACATTCCTATGTGTATGTGTGTGTAACCAACCAAGAGTATTTACCTCGATAAGCCATTGTAGCAATGCAGCCATGATGTTTCAGAAGCTGGTAAACCACAGAAAGCTAAAATATAACGTCCCTTTATCCTATACAGTCCCTCCTAAAAAGGCCTCTTTGCACCAGAGGTCCTACCAGCGGCAATGCGTCTGTCCCTCTACTTCCAGGTCTACTTTTATTGATCACCCCCCAGGGAACGTCTCTGATTGATCAGTCCGACCATTTGCTTTCATTGCGAACGGGCTAGTCCATACTGGCTTTGGGGGGTTACAGGGTACCATTGATTTTTTATCTGTGCCATCATGAATATGTGATGTCATGTGAGTAGAAATTGGCATTCGTCCCTGTTATTGATAAAGTACAGCATTTCAGATTAGTATTGGACAAGATTATTTTTACCATTACAATTTTTGTCAAAATAATCTGCTGGCATGGACAACTATATGGGTTACTGTTATAATTATTTTCATTTCATACGTAAGGCCACACCAATTTAATTTCTTGGTTAACAGATTTTTCCAGAAAAATAATGGAGCAGGCGGGCGAAAAAAATAAAAATAAAAACAGGCCTAGCCATATCCTATTATGACCCAAAATGATACGGTAGGAGCCATGAAGTCAACACACCAGGCTGGTTCAAAATTTAAACAATGAATTTTGAACTTTTAATGATATCATTGCATTGACAGATGGAATAACTGTAACAAAATGACTGTTTTCAACTGTTCAGGGCAAAATATGAGCATTTTGCAGTTGATTCTGAATTTTTTTTGCAATTTCATCAGAAAAAAATGAAGCAGCGAATCCGTTAACCAAGAAATTAAATTGGTGTATGTGGCCTAAGTTTGATTTTTTTAAAAAGTCCCCTTCCCAAAACAAAACTGTCTTGTTAGTCAACCATAATCAGCTTTCCTTTGATGAAAATTGATGTGATTTATCCATAATCACATAAATCATATAAATCTAATAAGTCTCTACTGACATCTGATATGCATAATTCCCTAGGGGCTAGATTTTATCTACATTTAATAGGATGAACCAACATAAGAGAAACCATACAGATATGTTTAAAGAATAGCAGGCCTCGAAATTCATTTTTGGGAATACTGGTACACTGGTGCACCCAACCTAAAAAAATTAGGTGCACAAAAAATTACTTGGGTGCACTTTATAAAATAAAGAATATCACCAAACACAAATTATGTTTAATTTCTAAGCAAAAGTAGTACAGTCAAGATTTTATTATTTTTCTGACATTTACATGTAGATGTTAAAAATATGCTGTATACTGCTACTGTACTTAAATCTACACAAATTTTGGATGCTATGGCGCACCCATAGAAAAAAGATGGGTGCACAGCTCCAAATTTGGGTGCACTAAGGTGCACAATGCACCCAGTATTTCGAGCCCTGAATAGTAATAGTACAGTATACACATCTTTTAAGCTACATAGTACCCTCAGCTAAATAATGGCATTAAAATACATTGTACATATATGATAATGTTTATAAGTAAATGAAGGTACAGGGAAGTTGATATTATTCTCAGTTACAATCATCATCATCATCATTCATCCTCCATAGTAGAGGTGGAGCATACAAAGTTAGCTCGCCACAACTGTTTGTTATACATCACTGAGAAAAGTTCATGTCCCTCCAAGCCAGTTTCAGTTTCAATAAGTTTCTTAACTGTTATGTTTGGGCGTACAACTCTTCTCTTACCGGTATCAGGGTTCCAGAGTAGAAGCCTACTGGCTGGTTCTTCACTACGTACTACATGACCGGCCAAGCTTAGTAGTCGACATTTGACTACTGAAGTTACATTTGGAAGCGAACCGTATAACTGTTCATTAGTAGTGTGTTTCCACCATGGTGTATTGAAAACCACTCGCAGCATCTTCGTGTATGTTCCGTTTAGTTACAATCAAAGCAATTACAATTAATGTAATTATCTTATTTAAGCAGATAAGATATATATTACCTACCTTTCACCTATGCGAAAATATGCCATTAACTAGAAAGGTAACATTTGCAAGCAAATGCAAGATGTTTACCTCAGGATGGAGTCACCTACCATTTATACCTTTATTGGGAAGGATGGGTGGAAGCATACTTTGCTTATACTGCTAACTTTTAACTACTAAGATTATACTTATTTATAGAGTAACATTAACTGGGGGATTTGAATAATGTTTTTGCCCTTGTAAGGCCAGGGATGAAGTTAAAAATGATTCACTCAGCACACACTCTCATCATGTTTGCAATCAAGAGGAAAGATGCATGTATAAGTCATGTACACATTGAATTTATCTTGACAGCTTTAATTAAACAATTTGAAACCTTACAGTTGTCTTACAATCTTGTTACGCTATTGAAAATTACAAGTACTCTGAATTTGGATAGCATTTTACTTAAATATGGTACATTTATTTGACAATCTTATTGCAGGTATGTAGATAATAATTTTGATGAAATTTTATACATTTTAAACTCTAATTGCAAAAAAATGGAGACTATACAATTTGGCTTATATAAAGTACTACAAAACTAAACATGCATAATACATAAAACAAACATGTAACATATACTATAAATCCATACATAATATTTCCATACACTGCGAAGCTAAACATACATATTGAAAAAACTATACATTTCTTACATATACAATGCAACTTAACATACGTATCTAATATTTACGTACTGGAAGGAAATCAGAATGGTACAAGTGTTTTTAGAAATGGTCGCAATCTGCTGTATTGTTCTGTGGATGGCTGGGTCCAGGTCAGTCCGGTTCCTCCCCAGTCAGTTTCTCCTGGACCAAGCTCTGCTTCCTTCCTTACATGAGGTCCAATCTGCAAGATAGAAACAGGAGAGTATGATTTTGTAGCTGATTTTGTATATTTTAAAGCTGATCAGAAACATAGATCACAGAAATTATTTACTGTGACTAAGTCATTCCTTAAGTGATAAAAACATCTGCACACTTTGGTCTTATTACTTATTATAATATAGTCTTCACACTACAACTTGAACCTGACACCACCATTTATCTACTGTCTATTTGTACTTAGACAGTTTCAATAGAAAATAAAGGAACCCTAATTGACCACGTTTACATTTCACCATTGCCATCAAAT